CGGTTGCTGCATAATTGACGAACATCTGTATGGTGCACATCCCAATAACTGTCAATTCTGCGGACGATATGTATTCATAGGCACTGGCGAACATTGAGCCGCCATCTCGCGAGGCCCGGCGGTAAATGTTCTTCGGGGCCCAACGCTTGGGAAAATTATATGTGTGCCCGCATGTGCGCGCTGTTGAAATTACGCTACCGAGGAACCCCACATACTTAATTTAAATCTTATGTGCTTGCTTAATTTAAATCTTAATCTGAGCCCTCGTCGCGAATGTTCCCTATGGGTCATCCAACGCCAAATTGCTTGACCCTCCTCCCTCTTCCCAGCCTTCTATCCTCCATCGAGGACAGATTCGAGGTGGTCACCGATGTGGGGTTCCGCCAGCTTGAGCCGCGATGTTTACGGATCAGGGTAAGACGCAAGCTCTCACGCGCAATGCGGTGGATAATCACTGCACCAAGAGATCACCCCCTGCGGTGGCCCTATAGTCCCAGGAGAGTGCCACGCCTGCTAAGCTTTGCGACAGTGTCGTGGGTGGCGGCCGCGCTCAGAGACCCCCTGTGGTGTCGAGAAAGTGCCACGGCTGCAAAGCTTTGCGCCAGTGTCGTGGATAGCGGCCGAGCTGAGAGACCACCCCCTGCCCACCCCCTTTGGTGTCGAGAAAGTGCCACGCCTGCTAGGCTTTGCGCCAGTGTCGTGGATGGCGGCCGAGCTGAGAGACCACCCCCTGCGCACCCCCTGTGGTGTCGCGAAAGTGCCACGCCTGCTAGGTTTTGCGACAGTGTCGTGGATAGCGGCCGAGCTGAGAGACCACCCCCTGCGCACCCCCTGTGGTGTCGAGAAAGTGCCACGCCTGCTAGGCTTTGCGACAGTGTCGTGGATAGCGACCGAGCTGAGAGACCACCCCCTGCGCACCCCCTGTGGTGTCGAGAAAGTGCCACGCCTGCTAGGTTTGCGCCAGTGTCGTGGATAGCGGCCGAACTGAGAGACCACCCCCTGCGCACCCCCTGTGGTGTCGAGAAAGTGCCACGCCTGCTAGGCTTTGCGCCAGTGTCGTGGATAGCGGCCGAGCTGAGAGACCCCCCCCTGCGCACCCCCTGTGGTGTCGAGAAAGTGCCACGGCTGCTAGGCTTTGCGCCAGTGTCGTGGATAGCGGCCGAGCTGAGAGACCACCCCCTGCCAACCCCCTTTGGTGTCGAGAAAGTGCCACGCCTGCTAGTCTTCGCGCCGGTGTCGTGGATAGCGGCCGAACTGAGAGACCACCCCCTGCGCAACCCCCTGTGGTGTCGAGAAAGTGCCACGCCTACTAGGCTTTGCGACAGTGTCGTGGATAGCGCCGAGCTGAGAGACCACCCCCTACGCACCCCCTGTGGTGTCGAGAAAGTGCCACGCCTGCTAGCCTTTGCGCCAGTGTCGTGGATAGCGACCGAGCTGAGAGACCACCCCCTGCCCACCCCCTGTGGTGTCGAGAAAGTGCCACGCTTGCTAGGCTTTGCGCCAGTGTCGTGGATAGCGACCGAGCTGAGAGACCACCCCCTCCGCACCCCCTGTGGTGTCGAGAAAGTGCCACGCCTGCTAGCCTTTGCGCCAGTGTCGTGGATAGCGGCCGAGCTGAGAGACCACCACCCCCCTGCCCCTTTGCCCACCCCCTGGTGCGTCGAGAAAGTGCCACGCCTGCTAGGCTTTGCGCCGGTGTCGTGGATAGCGGCCGAACTGAGAGACCCCCCCCTGCGCACCCCCTGTGGTGTCGAGAGAGTGCCACGCCTGCTAGCCTTTGCGCCAGTGTCGTGGATAGGGACCGAGCTGAGAGACCACCCCTTGCGCACCCCCTGTGGCGTCGAGAAAGTGCCACGCCTGCTAGGCTTTGCGCCAGTGTTGTGGATAGCGGCCGAGCTGAAAGACCACCCCTTGCCCACCCCCTTTGGTGTCGAGAGAGTGCCACGCCTGCTAGGTTTTGCGCCAGTGTCGTGGATAGCGGCCGAGCTGAGAGACCAACCCCTGCGCACCCCCCGTGGTGTCGAGAAAGTGCCACGAGCTGTGCTGTGCTGAGCTGAGCCGTGCTGGGCTGTGCTGAGCTGTGATGAGCTGAGCCGAGCTGTGCTGTGCTGAGCTGAGCTGTGCTGTGCTGTGCTGAGGTGAGCTGAGCTGAGCTGAGCAGTGCCGTGACGAGGGGGGGAAGAGTGAAGTGTGCGTGTGTGTGTGTGAGTGAGGGGAGGAAGAAAGCGAGAGGAGGGGAGGTGTGAGGAGACGCGGGTGCGGCGCGGCAGGGAAGAAAACCAGAACCCCACGAAGCATGTGGGGAATTACACCACCCACGTCTTATAAGGAAACTAGAAGGATGAGGGAGGCCCATGGTGCCAGGGTATGGGGTTCTGGTTGGTTCCAGGGGGCGATTTTGAGCAGAAAAGGGAGGATGGGACGAGCAGGATGACGGGAGGGTATCTAGCAGAAGCATGAGGAGGAAGGCGACGAGTAATGCTTGAAAGAAGGGCAATCTTCGGCTGGTGACACTGATCCGTTTGGACTCAGATCATCAGCATCATCGTCACCATCCCTCTTCCTTCCTCATCCCTCCTGCTCGTCCTCAACGTTTCCCCCCCACATCTGCCTGCGTATGTTCCTGTTGCTGTCCACCTAATCCTCCTCATCCCTTTCCTTCCCCACGCCCTCCTACTATTTGTCTACTCCTCAGCATCATCCTGGCATCCCCCATCCTCGCCATTGTCGTGATCACAATCGCGCTCGGCAGCATGATCGGCACCATCACCAGCATCATGAAACTGTTTCCATCATGCTCATTATCTTCATACTCGGGATTTCTTAATAAGCGTGGGGGGTACCCCTCCGACGGGAGTCAACCTCGCCTCGCCGTCGCGCCGCGACGGGGGTCGATGCGGGGCTGTCGGCGGGGTAGACGCCCCCCCGACGCATATTAGGAAACTCGGAGTCTTCATCCCCTGTCATCCCCAGTCTTCGTCCCCCACCCTCCATCCTTCTCCTCGGCTGCCTCCTTCTCTCGTCGCACTCTTCCTCGTCCTCCGATCGCACGTGAGGAGGAGGAGGGGGAGGAGGAGGAGGAGGAGGAGGAGGAGGAGGAGGAGGAGGAGAAGGAGGGGGAAGAGAAGCAGGAGGAAAAGGAGGAGTAGGAGGAGGAGGGGAAGGAGGAAGAGGAAGAGGAGGATGAAGAGGGACGAGGGAGGAGGACGAGGGAGGAGGAGGAGGAGGAGGAGGAGGAGGAGGAGGAGGAGGAGGAGGAGGAGGAAAGAGGAGGAGGAGGAGGAGGAGGAGGAGGAGGAGGAGGGAGGGGGGAGGAGGAGAGGAAGGAGGAGGAGGAGGAGGGAGGAGGAGGAGGAGGAGGAGGAGGAGGAGGAGGAGGAGAAGGAGGGAGGTGGGGAGAAGTACCAGCTGGAAGGTCTGTCCCTGGACCCCTCCCAGGGCGCGCTCCCGCCCGCCGTTTCGCGGCGGGCCTCGCCGCTGCGAGGAGCGGCAGTCCCCGCCCAGGGACAGAGACGTCCGACCGCACTCGATCACCGACCCCGATCCTCGACCCATCCCTCCTCCGCAGATCAGGCAGGCCTGGGATGAAGAGAAATGGCTCCAGAGGAGGAGGAGGAGGAGGAGGAGGAGGAGGAGGAGGAGGAGGACGAGGAGGAGGAGATGGAGAAGGAGGAGGAGTGCCCTAGGTCGGGCTGGCCTACAGGGCCGAGGAGCGTTGTGAAACGCTCTCAGGTCGTTGTGGAGCACTCCGAAGCGGCCGCGGCGCCCGACACGTCCTCTGGACGCGCCAGCTCTCCCAGAGCCTCCCGATAGACCTCCTCCTCCTCCTCCTCCTCCTCCTTCTCCTCCTCCTCCTACTCCTCCTTCTCCGCCTCCTCCTCCTCCTCCTCCTCCTCCTCCTCCTCCTCCCTCGTCCTCCTCCTCCCCCCTCCTCCTCCCTCGTCTTATGCGGTCAGGAACGATTGCTTGGCGTGTCGCGTCAGCAGTTCTGGCCCACCACGCCTCGAGGCGAGACGCCCAGAGGAACAAACCATGACATTCATATTCGGATTCCGAGGTCCGCGCGGATTTTTCGGATCGGCGCTGGACTCCCCTCCATGGCGCGCGGCAGGGGCGGCGCCTCGGCGCCGCCAGGGGGCCCCAGCGCCGATCGGAGGAATCCGCGCGGATCTCCAAATTCGTATGTTTATGGCATTGCTCGTTCCCCCAACGCCAATCGCGCCAACCAGTCCCCAAGCGTTAAGGTCCCGAGCTCTTCCCGGCGTCCCGCCCCGCGGAGCGGAGCGACACGCTGTCCGCTGGGTCCTGCAGGTGCGTTGCCACAGATGTCCCTGGCCCGCGGCGCCCCCCCCCCCCCCAGCCTCCTTGGGAGGCCCAGCGATGACCTCCGGATCACGGGCTCCAAACTGGCGCGAACAGTTGGGGACGCTTCGGGCCAGGACCACTCTGACTGCCCTCGACAGAAGGAAGCTCAGACGTGTGTGGCGCCGTGATCTTTCTCCCCCCCTCCGCGGCCGCCTCGTCTGTCCTCCCCCCGCTCTTTGCACGCTGGCCACTTCGCTTCTCGGTGCCCCTGTTTAGCTCCAGCGCTGGTGCAGCCCAACTCTGCCTCGCCGCCGACGGACAAGCGCGGCGCCGTTTCCCTGTCGGTATGATGTCCTGGGCTTGGGTGGCATGGCACGCAGGGTGCTTGGTGGTGCCCCCGCTCCACTGGCGGTCTTCGTGGCGCCTCCAAGTCGCACCCCCGCCCAGACCGCGCCTCGCCCTGCTTCAACATCAATGGGAGCGGCATCGAAGGGGCGCAAGGGGGCGCACTTTGCAGTGGCGCGGCAACCGCTCTCCCCGCCGGCCTTCGTCGCCTCGCCGCGGCCTCTGCGACGTGCCCTGCCGTGGCGCCCGGCCTGCGCGGGAGGCGGGCCGCCCCTGACGCCCCGTCGCGTCCCCCGGCCGAGTGGCGGCGTCTCCTCCTCCTCTGCGGCTCGGCCCTCGTCTCCACAGAGGTCACCATCGACGAGTTCGTCGACGGCATCCTCCGATCGCAGGTCGACAAGCCCTCCGAGCTGATCGTACTCATGAAGCAGGGCAGGACGGCGCCGCAGCCCGTCGCGGCCTATCGGCGGCCCCTCGGCGGCCCGTCGGTGGCGCCGGCGTCGTCATCGTGCGGATGGTCGTCGTCGTCGTCGGCGGCGGCGGCGGGTGGGACCTGGACATGCAACGTCCTGAGCAAAATCAGGACGGAGGTTTGTCTCGATGTTCGGCCTCTCGGGGCCCTTCCCGGGCCCCCAGGACCGTCGAAAACCGACCCGGGATGAACAACCAGCCCTGGAGCAAGGGTCAGGGAGCCCGTCTGGAAAAAATCCGGACGTCGCGTGTCTGGGGAGGGGCGCCCAGCGCGGCGGTCAGGACGATCCTGCAGCGCCTGGACGACGCGATGCTCAGGTACAAGCCCACCGGGGCGCACAGGGACTGCCCGGAAACTGCCGGATAAGCGTGCGGTGGGTGCGCTGGACCTTGCGATCTTGGCGTCGCATTTTTGTCACAGCGTGCGTTTCTGCTTGTTTCCGGGCCCCGTGGCCATCACAGATCGATCCAATTCGAAAAATACAGCAGAAAGATGAGGTCTAGGGCTCGGGTCTTGATTTCTGGCGATGTTTCAATTTGTTTGCGACGTCGGATCTCAGGGGATCGTGTGGGGGATATTGTGCGGAGCTTTGGCTCAGCGTGTCGCGCCGCCGGTTCTGGCCCACCATATTCGGCCACTTGCAGAGGGGGGTAGGGGGAGGGGGGAAGGCTTCTTAGAAGCACCCCTGCTTCTCAGAAGGCGCGGGCCTTCTCTGTAGACGTGAGGCCGGGGCCTTCTAAGAAGCAGGGTGCTTCTGAGAAGCCCTCCCCCTCCCCCTACCCCCCTTTTGCGCGCCGCCAACACACTTCGGCGCGACCTTCAACCCACCTCTTCCGGTGCCCGGGCGTCAACTTCCCGAGCCTTCCCCAGGGCCCCGCCCGCGGAGCGGAGCGACCTTCTAGTTATCAGCGTGCAGGCGTGCCGCCGGGGCCGCCGCCGCGACGCGCGAAGCAGGGGTTCCCGGCGGCAGGAGTCCCGGGCCCCGGGCCCCCGACGTCGTGATGCTTTTTTGAATCCTGGCGCTTGCGGAATGGGGGTCGTCAACACATTTTTTGATCCGCGGGTCGAGAGCGAGCCTCTTCCGGTCGAAGCTAAGCGGGCCGCGCAAAGCTTTAATTGACAGAGGGAGGAAGGCAGAAGGAGGGGCCTCACGTCCCTAGGCCAAGAGAGGGCAAAGCACCGGAATCAGGCGGTGCCGAAGGCGAAGTGCATGCAAAGGAACGCTTTGTGCAGCGGGGATCGTCAACACATGCTCCGGACGAACAACTTGCGCCGTGGGGAGGATGTTGGAGGGTCTAGGGCTCGCGGGCTGCTGGGCATGCTTCGGCGCGGAGGTGCCCTTTCTGGCCCGTATGCGTATCTCCTTTCTGGCGAGTCTCCTGCGCATGAGCGTATGAGCGGGCTGGGCGACAGAACGAGTGGGTCTGGCTGTTAGCGAGTCCGGGCATGAGCGGGCCATGTGGTCCGTGATACACCGTTGGTCCGCCCCTCCTTGAATTCGACGGCCCAAACGCAACGCTTGCTGCATCGTGGTGGCCATGGGGTTCTTGAATGAGGCGCGACTGCCCCCGAAAAAAACGTTTCGCCCAAGACATTCCGCACGATCTGGGAACGCACGGGCCCGCGCAAGACGCCTCGGCGGCTTCCCTTTGGAGTCGGCCAGATGCCATGCCTGTTGCATCGCGATGACCATGGGGCTCGGAATAAAAGCACTTCTACTTCAGCTGCATCGCGGTGGTCGTGAAGCCCTGGAGAAAGGGGCACGTCTACCTCCACAAGCAATGATGTCGTTCTTGACCGCCCCATAGTCTGGGCGCGAGCGGGCCCGTGCCAGACTCTCTGGCGGCCCCCATCTAGGGTAGCCCGAATGCCATGCCTGCTGCACCGTGGTGGCCAGGGAACTCTGAAAACAGTCGGGCCGAACGAAAGGGAGGGATAGGGAAAGGGGGGTTACGACATCTGCTGCATGAAGCTGGTTTCGGCCCCGCCGCCGGGCCCTTTCCACCATACGTAGGGCGCCTCCCGGCGCCGGGAGGCGCCGGGAAAGTCAGCTGCGCGAGCCGATTCTCTGCCCTAGCCTTTGCGATCCCCCCTTTCGCTCCCCCCGAAAAAGACAAGCGTCCCCAGACATGCGACGTCCTGATTTTTGTTCAGGACGTCGTCCCTGGAAGTCCCGACCCTTCCCCCAGGACCGAGTGTTCGTCCTGAGTGGTTTTTTGACGGTCCCGAGGCCCGGCGAGGGCCCCCGAGGGCCGAAGACAGCGACAAGCTGGCCGCCATGACTTTTCAACGACGCGATCATGTCTGGGTCCACGTCCCGTTCCCAGCACTTTGAATCGCTCGGACGTGTGCACTTTTCCTTCAGCGAGGACCATCGAGGAGCATCCCTCATCACTTGGCGAAAAAGCCACGCGCGAGTCCTTGGCTCGGCGAGACCCTACATGTCCCTGGCCCTTGGTTATGTTGGCTTGGCCGACCCCATGCTGTTTATGCCTCCAACGTATCTGGCATTGCCTTTTCTGCCCTCCATGATATCCGACAGCGACAACCCGACTGTAGCACAACAGGCTGACGGTGGGCTTCCAGTCGCTTCAGGGATCGCTGGCTGGCCGTGCGCCCCGCGCGCCGGCGGTGCTCCGCGCGGCGGCCAGGGAATTCCAGGCACCCGTGCTCCGGGCTGGCGCACTACAGGCAGAGGCCCTCCAGGGTGAGGCGGAGGATGCGGCGCACCAGGCTGAGGACGAGGCACTCCAGGCTGGGGGCGTGGCACTCCATGCCGAGGACGAGGTGCTGCAGGCAGATGCCCTCGATGCTGGCGCTGGTGCGCTCCTAGCTGAAGTACTGCATCCGTGCTCGAGACTGAGGTACTCCAGGCTGCGGTGTTCTACGTTGCGCCATCATGCATGCCGGCAGCTGCACCTGATGAATGAGTGCCATTCGCATCTGTGTCGCATCGAAGTGTCAGGCTCGTTGATGGTGACCCCTATGCCGACGAGTCCCTCTTCCCGCTGTAGCAGGGCGTTGTGATGACTTCCAGCCGTCGGAGCCGATGACGGGATACTTGCGGCGCTGGCACCAGCTCCCGATGATGCCGCAGGAGCAGCCATAGCAACCGCCTTGTCCTGCACTGTTGTTGTGCCCACAGGGCCTTGCCACTCCTCCTGCTGGTCCTCGACCATGTCGCAGTCCTAATACTCCACTGCTCCCTTGAGGACATTGCAATGTTCAATTGCTGCGTGCTCCTCGCGCAACCGTCACAAAATTCGCATCAACGATTCGAGCGCAAATTTCAAAGCGATGCTAGATATAATGGAGCTCGTCAGGGTACGTCAGAATGTTCATCGCCCACAGGAGGTCGAGGCGAAGGAATAACGCAGGCAGCTCAAAGCATGTATCGACGACGCGGCGCCCCGGTCTGCCATCCTTGCCGAGGCCACGACATGATTGAGACGATGCAAGTTTTATTCGATGCAATTCCTTGAACTCCGCGCGCTGCTTCTCCCCCTTGGGCGGTCTTTGAAAGAGGTCGCACTGCTGGACGATGCGCGGCTGCGCTGGTGCCGTCTTAGAAATGCGCCATCGCGTCTCCATGCCATTGGATGACTTGTGCACTCCGCGCTGCCAAAGAGATGCCTTCTTGGCACCAGGCGCTCTCGGCCGAGAGGGTGCTCTGGACGGTGCCAAGCCTTCTCGATGCCAGGACAGTCCACGCCAGCGCCCAAACAAAACAATGAATAGTTGTGCGTTCACATTTGCCAGCCCATTTCTGCCCCTGCACGCGCGCGCGGCGATGCGATGATAACCTATCTCGCGCTCGCTGCAGCCGCTCAAGGTTATGGGCAGCTTGTCGACGAGCTTTCGCCCTTCGATGCCAGTCCGGTTGCCGCTGGGCCGCTGGTTCCTGCGGCCCTCGCGGAGCCAAACCTTCTCCTCCTACTCTCCATCCTCCTCCTCCTCCTCCTGGACCTCGGACCTGGAAAGCGGTGCGCTGGCGCCGCAGTCGGTGGACCTCGGCTGGAAAGCGGTGCGCTGGCGCCGCAGTCGGTGGAGAGCGTCTTCGCATGCGATAGGGCCCCCCCCTTCATCTTGGTGGCGGCGGGGGTCGAGGGCAAACCGCTGACGGCGGACGTGTCTGCGGCGTGCGATCTCCAGACTGAACAGCCCAAGCTCCCCGAGAGCGTCGACGAGCCGATATGCGCGCCTGCTGCTGACGGCTGTGGGGCTCTGCCGCCGCGCCGAGGCCTCACGTTCACGCGCGTGCCGTGGTTGTTGCCAGCTGTGCGATGGCGTTGCAAGACTACGGCTTAACGCTGTAACGCTGGCGCTGGCCGAGAGACCCGCGCGCGCCCCCCCTCCCGACATGAAGCATGTTGAGGGTGGGCGTGGAGCGGCTGCAGGCGACCATGCGCATGGGCATCTCGTTGGCATGCGGAGCGCGGAGGACATGGAGGTCACGCTGCGCTTCGCCATCTCGAGCAACAAGAAGGTGGCCGTGCTGGAGGACCGCTACGTGGTCGCTGTGCTGGTCTCACACCTCCACCCTGGCACCGCCCTTTCGGTTGATGGGGTCAATATTAACGTGAGCGATGGCCGCAGCCGCCATAGTCTGACGGACGGCAGTGGATGAGCCCTTGCGCACTCGCGCAAGGACCAGTGCACGAGGGTGATGACCGAGGTTGAGGGCACCGACAGGATGTTGCAGCTGCCGCGCGGTTCACCGTCCCTCCAACTTTTGGGTGTCGTACTTCGGCCCCGCATTCCTGATCGCGCGCGTGGAGGTGAGCTTTTTCCTCGCGGCAAGTGCATTATGGCCCGTGCTCGTCTCGCCAACCAGCACGGTGCTTGTGGCAAGCGTTCTTTCGGCGATGATGTTTGAGGGTGCCAAAAGTCCTCTTGCGTCCTCCTCCCTGGCCTTCTCCTCCTCCTCCTCCTGCTTCTCCTCCTCCTCCTCCTCCTCCTCTTCCTGCTCCTCCTCTTCTTCCTCCTGCTCCTCCTCTTTCTCTTTCTCCTCCTCCTCCTCCTCCTCCTCCTCCTCTCCTCCTCCTCCTCCTCCTCATCCCTCCTCCTCCTCCTCCTCCTCCTCCCTCCTCCTCCTCCCTCCTCCCCCTCCTACCTCTCTCCATCCCTCCCCCTCCTCCTCCTCCTCCTCCTCCTCCTCCTCCTCCTCCTCCCTCCTCCTCCTCCTCTCCTCCTCCTCCTCCTCCTCCTCCTCCTCCTCCTCCTCCTCCTCCTCCTCCTCCTCCCCTCCCTCCTCCTCCTCCTCCTCCTCCTCCCCCCTCTTACTCCCCGCTTCCTCCCTCCCTGAGCTCCGACGTCGCGAGCAAGTTGCAACATCGAACAGGGAAATTCTTGACGCTTCGCGTATCCCCACCAGCCCATCCTACACCAGGCACTCGAACGAAGAGCGCCGATGATCGGCAGCTGTTCTCCTCCCCCTCTTCCTCCTTCTCCTCCGCCTTCTCCTCCTCCTCCCTTCCTCCTCCTCCTCCTCCTCCTCCTCCTCCTCCTCCTCCTCCTCCTCCTCCTCCGCCTCTTCCTCTTCCCTGGTGGCGTCTTGGAGGTATCTTCGAACGTTTTGGTGGGCTCTTGGGCCTCGCGGGCGGGCGGGCGGCGCTCCGCCCGCCCGCGCGCAGGGCGCAAGAGGAGAGTCCGAGACGTCTCTTGAGGCCCTCTTGGAGGACATCGATCGCAGAAGGGGGAAGCATTTTTTAGCGTCGCCCCCCTGTGGGGCACGATCCTCGTGAGGGGTGTCGAATTTTAACCCTCCCAGGGGTCGTTCTTGGACGCTCTAACTACCCGCGGCCCCCCCTGTCCAGGTCAGTGGGGAGGGGGTAGGGGGAGGGGTAAACCCCTCCCCGAAGGGGAAGAAGGAGGGGTGGAAGAGGAAACGCTCTAAACCACCGACGCCCAGAGGGCTGGTGGGATTCGACCGGAGCCCTGGACCCCGACCTTCTGCGGCAAGTTCCGGGGCGGATGGGTCCGCGAGGGCCCGATCGCCCGCCGTGATCAAGGCGTCGCCAGGATCTCGGGGCTCGAGGAGCAGGAGGAGGCGAAGGAGGAGAAGAAGGAGTAGGAAGGATGAAGGAAGGGGAGGGGGAGGGGGAGGAGGAGGAGAAGGAGGAGGAGGAGGAGGAGGAGGAGGAGGAGCTTCCGCAACAGCCCTCACGCAGGTGCCCAGGAACACCGAGTGGCCGTCCTCCCCCGTGGAGCTCGACCGGCCGCGGCGTATGAGCAGCCCCCCCTGGCTGAGCACCAAAGAGCTCTCTGACAAGTTCCGCATGTCTGAGAAGGGCGAGTGA